AGATATGCTACTAGCGGTTAGAGTAATGGAAGCAAAACAAAAGTTACCTTTGTCATTTGTCAACTTTGAAGTGCACACACACACACACACACACACACACACGCACATACACATACATACATACATACACACATATACACACATATATTGGTTTATTTAAAGCTTTAGTTAAATCATTTATGATGAAATAATGGTTGGATAGGAGATTTTATGCAAGCAAATTTTCATTTCAGGAAAGAAGTGATGTCATGTTGCATCCGGGAGGGAGGATAATTCGACTGTCAGCCTGAAATTCCGAACTTCATTTCCTTTATGATGATACTGTAAAAAGCAGTGTAGAAATTTTTTTTTGTCAAAGAAGGATTGTCGTGTAGAATTGTGTTAAGAAAATAAAAAACGGATCGTAGGAGGGATGAAGAAAGCTTTACACAGTTATTTTCATGATCATACACTTTTTGCTTTACCAATAAGAATCTTTTTTTTTTTGTTTCCAGAACTTCTTTTTGTCTTCTCCTCCGCCCTTTCTCGGGACTACAATGCCATCGATTTCATCTTTTTGCTTATTTCACATATAATGTTTTATCAACTCTGCTTTGTTCTAATTTCTGTAATTTTCTATTACCCGTTGATTGTCAGTTTCTCTAATCTCCACAACAAATTTACTGATAATCGAATGGGCTCTCGTGCGCTTGATCTTTCCACATTGCGCATTTGTCCATAGCATGTATTGCTGCGATTTGCATTTAAGCATGCATCTTCAAACTTAGCTGTGCTCTTGCAATTAGTCATTGTCTAAGCATGTTCATTAAGTCGGCCTATTATTCATTTCGATGATCGTTGCATCGAAAAATTAGAACTGCTAAGCAGCAGTTTGATGAAATTTTGAAAGTTACATAGTTTATGAGTAACTGTTAAATTTGGGTTGTCGAAAACATGACTGTGAATAGTAAGTATCATTCCTGGGAAGGCCTAGTTGAGGCCATTCCTTGTACTAACATACCACAATTTCGAAAATTTTTCTATTTTGCTTTTATCTTGCTTAATATAACTATAATAAAATCTTTAACAACTAATTTTGTTATTTGAAAAAATTTCGAAAAATGTTCATCCGTTAATTTTTTTTCTTTTACTCCTGCATACTTTCGAAGGCTGAAATTTTTTCACAAAAACTTAAATTGTTCTTGAATTTCATGTTCTACTTCATGGAACATTTAATCCTGTATAATCTTTCAAAATAATTTCAGTTTTAACTTCCAATTGATGATAATTAATGAATTCCAATAAAATACCATTTAGTTAAACGACAAGATTTAATTGATATCACTTAACTAAACCATGAAATCCGATTGATGTTAAAAGTTTTATAATTAGAAATATCGTCAACAATTTCCCATATCCGGCAAAAAAAAAATACATTCTCTCAAACAGTGGTCGAAATTAGCTCAAAAATTTTACACAAAATTTACACCTCCAAGGGAATCCGATATGATTAGTTAAGTTTTTCAAAAGGAAATCAAGAACTAAGACCATTCTTCTTCTATGATCTCTTCATTACATTATCAGTATCCATTGTCTATTCATTTTGTCCTTTCCTAGTATTCATTGTCCATTCATTCGCGCCAGTATTGCTATAATCACTTTTTTACTTATCATCTGAATTTTTGGTTACTATCTTATCACTTCATACTTTTGAAACGTCGTCTTCTACTTCAAATTTGCATCGAATACCATCTACCTTAGCAATGCTTATACTTTAGATATGGAATCGGGTAACAATCGATCCCATAAAAGCAGTTGTACTAGCATGGTCAATTCGAGAAGACAATCCTTAACAGCGCAACTTTCACGAACAGCCAGACGTTTTTCGGCTACATTGGCACCACAACTGACAAAACTGGATCCTTTACCATTGCTTCAGAATTATGAAGTACTTAATATACGATTAGTAAATATTGCACAGGTGAATTACTTCTTCTGCATTTACAAATTCAGGGTTTGTTGTGGTCACTTTGGTCACTTTACAAAAAAGAGATTCTAAAACTTAAAACTATTAAAATAAATTTTAAGCGTTACCTGAATTTAAATCATGTTCTCTTGACACATTTATTATAGTATCACGCAGCTATCGAGGGGTATGTTATCCAAAACAATGTAAACTTCAGTCCGATTGATTTTGAAATAACGGATGAAAATAATGTTCGTGTGCTCAGTATTAGTTTACATCCTGAGGAAATGATTCTTTCTAATGGTACCAGTAGGATTTTTTCGATCACATTCGACGATTGCGATCCTGAAGAACGTGGAACTGTGATAGCCAAAATCAGGCAACCAATATCACGTAAATCGTACACTTTGATCGCAAGTTTATACTAGACTGGTAGTTTTTGAAAGAGGAATTTGGACTTTCATTTGCTTAATGAATTCAAAATAAACTCAAAGTATTCACTCTCTATTGGTTGATCACTAGGTCTTTCCTAATCCTCTAATGATCCATTCTTGCCAGAAATACGGTAGAACTGAATTCTAGTAAAATAATGACGAAAGAATGAATTTGAGGCATGCGAATATTCGAATTTTTGGAATTACCGTGCTCAGATATTGTCCAAATCTCATCATGTGTTGATCGATATGATCGTTGCCAAATTAAACTCGTATCAAACTCAATTTCCAATTTCTTTACATTATGTGGTCCTTGCTTCTTTACACAGACCAAATGGCAATTCATAAAAGAAGGCAAAATTTACGCATTTATTCGGCCTAATTGTACATTTTTCGATGAAGGTTCATTACGGTAAATTGAATTTTTTTCAATTAAAAAGAAAGTAATAATGTTTTAATGAAAATGTCTGCTAGTTCTAGTACCACAACTGGTGACAGCAGGCGAATACATTTGATTCCGATGTCGGGAATTTTCATGTACAAATGAGTACAATCTGATATAATCGAGGATATCCTGGTGAATACATAATTAAAATTGTCAATATTACTGCCCTCAAATGAATTGAAAGGAATGATGTGACAGCTAGCAATAGGAAGATCTTTCCTGTCTGTCCGGTCTATAGTTGTACTACGTTCTAGCACGGAATGGTTGAACATTGATTTCGATTCCAATAATCATTCTTGCAAATTACTCATTTGTAACAATGCAATCGATTTTAAATTTTAACTTTTTCTACTTTTTGAGAGGAACTAATGGGAAAAACAAGATATTTAGACTAGAATGGGTGCCACAAACAGACAATGAACTACGAATGATTGTCATTGCATATGGCATGACACAAATGGTTCGGGAAGTATTTCCCTCCCTAAGCCGTATTATAAGCGAGCAGAACCAATAAAAAATTGGTAATATTTCCTTCTCCTTCATATTTCCGCTTTTTTCCCTGTAATTGTTAAATCGAAAAAAATTTTTTTTTAAACCGTTTATTCCCATCTTTCGAAATGTTTTTTTTTTCTTTTTTTATTGGAAATCAATAGCTGAGAGTACACAAATCACTATCAACTACCAGCACATGGACTAGAATAATTTCGGACATTGGCAGTGCAAGTTAAATAATACTAAATAACGAAATAATTTCAGTACTCTCCAGGGTTATGACCAGAGTGGTATCAACAAGTGGAAAAACAAAAAAAAAACGAAAATTTGATAAACCATTAATCCGATTACATTTATTTCTAGGTACTACCAAAACAATAAATTGCGTGGCGTCTGGTTTGGAATCTCTTCACAAAATGTAAATTTAGTATTAACCATTATTGTGTTTAATTTGTCAACAACTGGTGGCATTTGTCTCTTAATTAAGCCAATATGAAACTAGATGTTACTTTTGATTTCTGAGAAACTTTCAGCAAAGAAGTTATGCACTATGCATTTCCTCACGCTTCATTCTTATCATTCCTGTGTTTTTCTTTTAAAAAAAATTTGCAGCTAAACTTCAAAAATTGCAGAATATTGTAAAATAATTTCTGGAACTATTTGTGAAGAAAATGAATCAAGCCAAGATCTAAAGCATGACTTCAGTTTAATGAATGACATGTTCAAAAAATTAGTTGCCTCTATCCAATCAGTCCAGACTATACATATATATATATATATATATATATAAGGGTAGAACTGAAAGTAAATCACTGAATCCAATACATTCTGTATTTCGGCATTCAAGAGAGGCATTCTTGCCCTTTCTGGTAGAGGTAGTTTGTTCCAGAGAACCAAACGACAGTGGTATTCTTCTATCATCTCCTACTGGAAATGGCCGCTACTAAGGAGGAAATAAATGGTGGTATCAGTTAAAGTAATTTTACAAATTCAAAAGGAAACTGGCAGTGGTTCTAGTTTATTCAAATTACAAATGTATTATTCCAGAAAATATCAAAAAATCCACTGGATTGCTAAACGGAAAGTAAATCAAGGATTCATTGGACTATCAAACAGATTTCACTGGAAACTTTAAAACTGTTGAAAGAAAAATTTTTGAAAATCATTTAAAATAAGCTTCGAATGTTGACATGGAAATGGAACGAAGAGCACAAAAAACAAAATGACAAGAAAGTCATCCAAAGTAAAAACAAAATGAAACCTTATAAAACATAACAAAAAACAACAAAAGTTTGCTGGATAAAGGTAAAGATTTACTGAACAGAGTGTGGACACTGGATAAAACAGGGCAAGAACGTAATTAACGAATAATCTAAGCCACATATAAACATACGATTCACACCTTGAAAAATAAATTCACGACAAGCATGGTAATTATTTTACGTATTGTCAAGGGAAGATGAACAAAATAATAGTACATGCAATATTCATCAAATTACAATGGTAACGTGACTAATTTTGCCCGTTTTTTGTTCCCAACTTCAACTTCAGATTCCATTTTACTGTTGTCAAATTTCCCAGGACGCTTCACAACTGTTCTAACATTACAGCTAAAAGTCGCCGCATCTTCATTTCTTTTACTGTCTAGCGTTGATATGCCACTGAATGCTTTGCTTCTGGTTATTGTTATAATGAAACACAATATGCCAACTGTATACGAAACCAAAGTACTCGAATAGTTGTAAGAGTTCATATTTGTCAATTAATAATATCATCTTTCTAACCGTTATGACTGAAGGTAGCTATAATCAATAATTTAAAAATAAATACAAACTTACGTCATCTTTTGATCGCCTTCTTTTCCTGTTTGAGACGAGGCAATTCTTTTAAAAAATTTGAGAAGTGAATTAGGTGGTGAGCTCTCTCTTTTTCGTTTTTCATCCAGTTCAATCAAAGAATTTCCTGAATTTTTTTTGAATGTGTTCACTACAAAGTACAAAAACTCCCAGTGCCTTGTAAAAGCCATCATAATATAACGGCAACAATACTTGAAGCTCTTGATCAATCAATTTGGATTATCTGACTGGAAAACTGAAAACTTACGGAATTACTTACCGTACTTACGTCCTTTCCTGTCTCGTTCGAAAATCGGCGATGGTGGAGGTCGAGGCATTTTCCCGGTGTATTTTTCACCTAGTGCTATTTCGCCAAATCTGAATAAAGTATTCGAACAAGCATACATGAAAAGGAAGTGCAGAAACAATAATAAGAAAATAAAAGACCCCAACATTTTATTAAACTGAAAAGTCTTATAAAGGTCTAAACTGATCATTAATTTAATGCTTAAACTGAAAACAATAGACGCACTTACTACAGTTAAATTGAGGAAATACAGAGATTACTTTATGTTGGTATGTAAGTGACATATAGCTGGAAAAAAACGACGTGCCTGATGAAACTAATATAACCCTCCAAAGAACAAATCATCAAAACCCGTCCATCAGGACTCCATGTCATATCTGTTAGAGTATCGTACTGAAGATTAGTAGCACAAGCGACACATCTGCAGAGCTGGCTATCGAAAATATACACAGTATTCTTCGTTAATGCAGCCCAAACAATGCGATATGGAAGTCTAAATAGGATCCTTAGCACTGCTTAGAATAAAGAGTCTCCAAAAAAAATTTTCATTAGCTTTTCAGACAAATTAATATGGATTGGAACAAATACATAAAACATTTTTTTTTACTAATGGGTTGTAACTTCATCAAATAACTTACTTTAAAGGATTGCCGGCAACTCTTTTATGAAGTTTGAACAAAACAGGGCAGCAAGAAACACGAAAAGTAGCTTTTGAGGAAGGAATAAATGCAGCTGGACGACCTCTATAAATGTAGGCATAAAGTTTTAAGTGAAAATGAAATCAGAAAATTTTTAGTGTTTGATTCGACTTTTAATGATCCGATTTTCCACTGGTAAACCACCTGATAGTTGCCTTATTTTTTCCCGATGACAATGAAACCTTCCAGCACCTTGGAATACGAAATGTAGTGTGGTAATGCGAAATATCAAATATATTTGAAAAACAATAAAAGATATAATTCAAATCGTCGTTGACACTAAGTAGACCTTCATGGTTGCTTTAGCAATTATTTGAAAAAAAACTTTTCGCTCGTAAAACCTACTTCGGAAACTCACTACGACGAAAAATATAAGTCCCGAAAATATTCGAAGAACCGGTCTCCAAAACACCACCTAAATAACATAAGCAGGCATAATATCGTAGCAGAAATCTTACGGTTTATTCAGAATTTTATAGATATGACGATTTGAGACCGGAAAATGCGTGAAAAATACAAAAAACTTGAATTGAAAGAAATTTCACTTCTCTCCCTCATTCCTTTCCTTACATTTATTTAGGATATGGAATAGACAATCCCTGATTCAATATGCAATACAAAAGAAAATTTTTTAAACATACTTGGTGCAATCAGCAATTCACCATCAGGTGAGAAATCTGGAATTCTAGAGAAGGACATCAACTGGTCATCGTGAAATAACTTGTAATCCTAAGAGGAAGTTCTTTTTTAGGAACGAAATTCCGCTCAATCAGTAATCATTCATGGATATAAAGTGATTACCTCTATTTTCTGAAATAATTCATCAAATTAAAACTTACACCAGCTGTCAAATTTGACTTTCGTAAAATCGTCTTCGGTAAGCGAACATTTTGAATGCATATCAAACGAGTTCCTTTCTTCCCACACAAAATGTCCAGTTTTCGATCAGTGGACATCGTAGCGATATACTTTCCACGTGGATCCCACGCAACACCATTTGGGAAACGTCGGTATGACCTCATGTGCCATAAGCGTCTACCTGTTTTACAAGTCTATTGCTACAACTTTTGTTTGCAAATTTGGTTGCTCTTGTTCATTCTTTGAAAAATCCGTTGATACAAAAATCAATCAGTTTCTTGGAGCAAAACAACAGTTGACTGAATATCACCTGTATCTGCTTCATACATTGCAAAAGATTCGTCGTTGGATACAATGGCAAAACGCTTGCTATCCGGACTCCAACACAAAGAACAAATATCGCTATCATGGCTAAATCGGATTCATTGCCGCAGTACCAAAAACATGAACAATTTGAAATCTAACAAAATGTCATTACGGAACCGTAAAGCAAGATGCAGCTAATCGGACTTCTTTTCTACGAAAGTGAATTATAAGGGGAAATGTTTCCATTAAGCAAAACAAGATATAACACAAATTTCGTGCTGTCAACAGTTTTCAATATTTTATCCAGGTTATCTTACCTTAATGGAGTTTTGTATCTCACCCAATTTTCAACATTTGAAGGGAAGTCATCATCTCGAGGCAAAATCGGTTTTTGACCGTCTATATCGATTTTCCAAATGATTATACAACCATCGCAATCTCCACTCACAAGAAGTTGCCCTTCAATTTTGCAAAAGTTACTGACCAAGACAGAGTCGGAATTTTCAATGTCGCTAAACTCATGATAAAGAAATACCATTTGGTGAAAAGCGTGCAACATTGACAGTTGTACGATGACCAACTAAATTCGCAATGAAATACACTCCAAGATCTTCAGTTCCAAATGGTAGCATCCGAAAATCCATTTTCCAAATTCGCACTTCTCTTCGTAAGCTACACGTTACCAACTATAAACACAATAAGTATAAAAAGACAATGTTAATACAAATGGTCTTCTATTCTGAGTTAAAATCACTTGAAATAGTGCTAAAGAACTCGTAGACAGAGAAAACATTGTTAGTTTAATTTATAAAATCCAACCCATCGAAGTTTACTGAATATATAAAGGAAAAAAACTGTTGGTATATGACAGCCTCTCTTGATAAACGCAATGCACAGCTACGTTTACATATTTTATAGTACCATAGGCCGAAAAAAATTGGATGCTAGCTACAATGAACTGAGACGTAAAGAGATCAAATAAGGCAAATTAAATAACTCTTACCTTATAAAAATCGACTTTACCATTGTGTTGTGCTTGGAAGTCCACAGAAAGCAAGGAATCCCTATCATGCCAAATAATCTCTGGCATATAATGCAGCATTGCTGTTACCTCACTTTTCGCTATGTCTTCGACCATTTTCGTAAAAATTATTTTACCATATAAATTACCTGTTGTAACAACTAAGTTTTTAACAGACTGTTATACCAGTGGTTCATTATTAATTACAGATGGGTTCCATTTTATTTTACAAATACACTCCACCAGTTGTTATGGATGTAACCCTGAAGTATATGCAACAATGTAATGAGGTGTGAAATAAAACACCCGTACTCCAAATAATTATTTACTGACAGTATCTTATCAGTTAGTATTCATCAGTGACAGGTGTGTACAGACGTATATCATCATAACCCTTAAAGCACCTAGAAAAGTTGAACCGATCATCCCACAAACTTTAACCTTATGCAGGAACGCCGTGATTTCCCGCTCCTTTATCATTCGAATTAGAAAACATATAACTCTGTAAAATTCGGACAAGTTGCAAGGTTCAGACGGCTGTACGGTTCGGACAAGTCCACATATGACGGCGCGGAACGTGAAGCGGGAATTTCGAGTTTCATCGTTCAAGTGAGGTATCCCTGGGTTAGCGTGGAAGATAAGTTAGGAAGGAATAAAATGAGGTGTCCCGTTTCCTTTGGTGAAGTTTTTGAAAATGTCAGGGAAAAAACACTCTCTCCCCACCCCTTTTATTCGCTTCGCAAATATAGGGGACTTCGCATTCTAAATATCTATATATATTTGTCGAGATGCACTAACTTCGTAATAATTTGATACAGCATGAACATTGAAGATATGATTAAGATCTTGGACTCCAGTAACGATAGTAAGTGGAAAGCTTCATATCACCGTAAAAATTGCTGTTTCTTAGGTTGATCAGAGTTATTACTTTCACAAAGGAATGAATTAACACAGGCCGACTAATAAGAACTGGAAATCAGTCAAAAAGTTTTCTGTGAAGGGATAAAAATAAGCACGAACGCAGCGATAAGGAGACGATGTGTACTATCATTGAACATTTTCACGGATCAATCGAGTTTTTGCGAAAATGTCCCTGAAGAATTTTTTCTGGAGATTTTTTTTGTTATATGCTCCAATACACATTCTCAACAACGTGGTACGACCACCAAAAATTTGACAAAACATTACCAATTGGATAGGCTGCGCGTGTAGAATCTGATCCGCAAGAAGTTCAAGCATGGTCACGTACCATAGATGAGGTGTCTGTTTTAGAGATGAATATCCGTCTCATGCAAGCTAGCTCTGATATTATCCGCTAGAGTAAAGTACTGTGACACACAAACTCTTGTCATTTCCAATGTTTAATAATTATAGCAATAACCAAGTAAATTATACAAAATAATTTATAAGCCTTAATCAGTCAATCCACCTAACTAAATGATACTTCCGTTTGCCCCAACAAACAAGTGTGATATTTTTGCCATCCAAACAAATTTTATCGAAATCGACCAATTCATCAGGATCCGTGAATCGTGTTCCGTTTAACTTCAGAGCTCCCGCTTTCATCTTATTTATACTAGATCCTTCACCATTATGCACTCTGTCGGCTAACTCCCCCATCGTTGAAAAACCGGATCGAAAAAGCTGCTGCACTGATGCACTACCGAACTGCTCTTCTATAAGTGAAGTCGGCATCTTCCGCAATTCAGAAAGGGAACCTGAAACCACTTTTATCCGCAGCAAATGACGTCATAAGCTAATGCTTACATGACAATAAAGAAAACTACCATGAAAAAGTATTTTCGAGCATTGTTTCGCCATTTTCAACCCATTACTTCCATGTACAAACTTTGTCAACTCTTCCGCTAGTTTCTCTTGTGCGACCCATTTCCCTAAATTTGCATGGTGTTCCCGTTCAATTTCTTCGATTTCTTCGACATTTCGTAAGGAAAAGTACCTATAAAACAACAAAAGTTAATAGGTTTTGCTGGCAAACAGCCGAATTCATTGATTTCTGAAAATAAATTGAGTGCTTTAATTTTTATCCCATGAGTTTCCTCCACTGCAGACTACTTGTTATATACAAAAAGGAAGTTTCAATGCTTTGAAGTCTGGACACCCATTAAAATATGAAGGAGAAGGGAGAATTTGAAACCTCAAACAGTTATACTGCCGTTAGCGATGGAAACAATGAAATAAACTTGCCTTAGCAAGGGGACTATATCTGAGTCTGGTTTCTGACGAAAGTACTGGTAGAAAGTGAAAGGCGATGTTTTCCGTTCATCTAGCCATATGTTACTACCTTCCTTAGAAGTTTTGCTGAGTTTTTTTCCTTGAGCATCAGTAAGTAAAGGTAAACAAATGCTGGCTGATAGCTTCCCAGTTTTCTTTTTTATATAATCATAGCCTGCATCAAAGTGACCGAGTTGGTCATTTCCACCTATCTACAATAATTAACAACCAAATATCATATGCGATGCATAATTTTTCGCAGAAAACATACCAAAAGTACGTCTGTTTATATAATCCATCCATTTACAAGATTCACCTCATCCAAACAAATTTTCAAGTTTGCAAGATGAAATTATTATTAAATAATAAATTCTTGCAGATGTTCTCTCTTACTTGAAAGTGACAGTTATAGTCACGCGAAAGGCGATACCAATCATATGACTGAAATATCTGATATAAAAATTCACTGCAAGAAAGGCCTGACCCATCACGCATCCGGGATTTGACCATTCCTAATCTTAGCATATCACCCAGTCGAAAATCCCGACAAACTTCCAGAAATTGAATAGAGCTCATCTGAAAAATGCTGTGATGTAAAGTAAATCTTTGTTATGTTAGCTGTAAAAATGAGCTAGAATCACTGCGCGTAAACGAATTGAAACCCAATTTAGTATTGAATCGCGTAGGAATAACATCAGTGATTTTGCAAAAGTTTTAGTTCCAAACAATGATACATATTCTCCGAGATCCCGCATTCTACACCTCGAAATGAAGCAAGCATCGTTACCAACATAAAAAAAACATAAGCTGTATTATGCTATTTCGGTAAAATTTCTTGCCTTAAGGTGCCAATCAGCATTATTGACGATCGAGAGATGCTTGTTCGGTTGTACGTTACCTTCTTTGAAATTATTAAATAACTTCATTAGTTGCAAATTGATTTTTCCAGCGTACTGATCGATTTCATTACCCGAGACAATGATCCGATCTGAAACTTTTTCATACAATATGAATTATTTTTGAATGAAAAAGCAGAGGCAAACAATCGCCAACTAATGGTTTTTGGCAGACAGTCGTACCTGAAATCTATGGCTACAATAATTACGACACCTGTAACATGACCACTTGGATCCCCAACATAAGCAGTGGCTCCACCGATCAGGGCAATTGCATGACATCCGTGCAAAGTTGCTCGAAATAAGTTCGTTATTACTAGTAAATGACCAATGTGAAGGCTCTCTGCGGTAGGATCAAATCCTGAAATGATAAAACATTATTACTCGTATATGACCAATACGGAGGCTCTCTCCAGTAGGATCAGAAATGATGAAACAACTCACCACTGTAAAAGAAAAAAAGAACATAAACAAGAATAATTTTAGCTTCACATTCAAATCAAAGTTTCCTTATGCTAAACAAAGGGAACTGCATTACAAAACAGTTACTCACAGAACGTTACTTTACCCGCGTAAACAACATCGGGAAGAGTTGATACTACTTTGAAATCATCGCTGGATAAATTAGATGGATGTGAGGTGGAAATAAGATTTCTTTTTGTAAGGTCGACGCAGAACTGCTTAATATTTTTTGCTGGTGATGAAGTTGTAAAAGCACGTTTCAATTCAAATCTGAAAATACTTGACTTCCACTGAGTGTACAAATTGATAATCATCGGGTAAGCAAAAATAGCAAAATCCCTTTTAAAGATCAATTTTGAAGATTTCCTAACCTTCTTATATGAAACGAATAACAAAACGAGGTCGCCACTTCAAAATTTAAGTTCGGCAGTCGCATTGCTACCAATTTATTTCCTGAATAAAATCGGTTTGAGGTTTCGACGACATCAGAAATAAGCAATTTTTTGCACAGCCAGATAACTCCTTGGATTTGACTGCAGTGAATTAATTTCTTTAAAAATCCTATGTGAAGATAATTTACGGAAGCATTACAAAATATGAGGTTTTCCCAAGTTTTTTTTCAAATTCAACAATTTATAATAATTTATTGAAACACCAACAACTTGCAACTCCATAAACTCCAACGAAGAGTTCATCATATGAAGACCGAAATGGACATGAAGAAATTTGCGCAGCGATTTTGAAGAAAAAAACTGAGCAGTGGTCTCGAATTATTCAAAAAAAAAAAAGAAAAAGAATGCTAAGAAAAATCACCAATCACACGATCGTGATAAAGATGTTTTAATTTTTATACATAGCTTTGATATTCGTCTTTTTCCGTTGAAATAATTTCAGTGAAAGAAATCAAATCATGTTAGAAATACATTCTAGGCGCAAAGTATCACTGCTTGCGAAGACAAAGTCGATAAAGATGAAATTAATGAAGCAAATAGATGTATACATACATAATAAGCACACATAAATAAATTCAGTATTCACTTCTTAACCGTTCATTGATGAGTTTACAAAATGAATTTTCATCATATACTTTACTGATATCTTTCAACAAGTGGAAGTCCATAGATATAAAGTTACGAAGGTTATTGCCGATATCTGAAACATAGCCAACAGACAATAAAATTTATACCATAAACCATCTCGATTTCGGTTAAACAGCGGCTATCAAGGATACCTGGGTTATATATAGGAGGCCAAGAAGGTGGTGGTGCTTTGTGATTTCCACTGGTTTCCAACATATGACTTCGATCAGAAGAGAAGTGCTCTAGGTAATGTAAGCCACTAATAACTCGAAAACATCTGAAAAACAATAAAAGTTTGCAAGGAAAAGGTATCCTTCTTATAAAGCTTCCCTTTCCCGTATTTTCAAGTTAGTTTCTAGAATTGTCACATGCATTCCCCATTATTAAATATCACAACCTGTACTCTCAACCTTTTATTTGGTGCACAATAGCGCGAAGGCTCATCTGTGACAAGAAATTAAGCGTACCTGTGATAATTCGCATCCAAATTCAGTTCAGGACGAAATGTTTCGATCCAGTACGTTTGAGCATCACAAGGAAAAGTCAACGTTGTGTCGAAGTCATAGACCAACACTGAACCCGACTTTGAGTATAACAAGATTACATGATAATCCTGTAACACTCTAGTGTGCAGAAAAATCCCACAATAGTAGAATAGTAGAATATTTAAAAATTATGAGTATGCTCCAAAACATCCTGACCCATATCACATAGTCTCGTCCTCCCGCTGCTGCAGCACGTTGCTTCCACAAGGGAACCTAAAATGATGCATAGAACATTTCTACGAAAAGTTGAAGTGAAGAATTAAAGCCCATAGTTTTTAAAAAAAAATGTGTCCCAAACTGTGATAAAATACAAATGCAAAAATCTACGATACAAATAATTGAGCCGTTCATTACCATTCCATTTTTGTTGGAAATGAATACAGCACTGCAGCAGTTCAGTTCTTCCAGTGATACTGATACTTTCTTACATAATTTCCAGATATTTTCTTCACTATAAATTACGATAGGTTGATACAATCTAGTAAAATTCACCTATACTGAATTTTAACACTTGCAACCTATAAAAAAACGAAGAATTTAATTAGATTACAAATGCACAAGCAGAATCAATTCCCAAAGATAAAGAGATGTTGCTCTATTCAAAGTAAGGAATCTGGCGCAGGCGAGATGGATTCGAGATGCTAACTGCTGTAACTTCATGAAATCTACGAAAAATGCCCGTACCAATACATTGGCGTATAATCGCAGTCAAATCTCGAAAGAATAAGACAACTCTTCTTCTCACAGCAGGACATAATTCGATAAATCTGAAAAGCAGCAGAAGAACAGCAGTTTTTATTTATCAGAGAAAAATAAATTTCGGGAACGTAAACAAAAAAGAAAAACTGGAACTTCAATTCCAAAGGAATTACAAAAATTTCAGAAACTCACAAATTAAGTGAACAACGGTACAAGAAATTAAGCTAAGAACTCTTGCCTATGTGCATTTTGCTCATGAAGTTACTGGGAGAAAATTTGACGAATATAAATAATGCAAATAGAAAATTCAAGAACTAATAAAAAATTTAAACTGGAAAATTGTGGATTTTGAAGGAATATTTCTATTTCCTTAAAAAAATATTTCAAGTTATCTCCATCTCCAAAAAAAGTTAAGTTTATGCTGTAGCTGAACTTCCTCTGCAACATTTTGATTATTTTATCAATCCATCTTATTGAAACATGATTAATTTATTTCCTTACTTATGGATCATACCAGCTTTCTCAGATTCAAACGCTATTCTAGCAAACCCTGATTCCATGAGTCACCAATCCTTGACACTTCGCCGGAAATACCGCTCATCCCGGAATCATAAAAACAAGTGGGTTCGAATTGGTATAGCTCTAGGTTGGTGATTAAAAAGCCAAAAACTAAATCCCTCACCACCAGACTTTTCATTATTATTATTTCCTCGTTTTCTTCTCAGCTGGCATTTATGTGTTAGTACAATTTCGGGTTAGAAATGAGTTGTTATAGAAGGATTTCTTGGGAGAAGTTTTAGTATGTTCTCCGCGGGTCTTGTCTTCCTTTTCCTCTCCTTTCTTCGAACTTCTTCCCCATTGCTCATTTCTCAGTTCCTCTGTGTTCTGCGGGTTTAAATTCAACTCTAAAGAAGGCGGGAATTTAATGTTTATCAGAAGTTTAAAAATTGGAGAAAGAATAAATAGATAAAACTTACGACATCCATTTTCCAATCTCTAACGTTAAATTGGTAACATTAATAACATTTCTTTCGTTTCTCTCAACTTCTCCATTGATTATTGTCCAGTTCCTCTGTGGATTTAAATTCAACTCTAAAGAAGGCGGTAATTTAATGTTTATCAAAAGTCTGAGAAATGACGTCCATCAAAACTCCATTTTCGGACTTTATAATTAACTTTAGGTATTGCGTCGTAATTTTTTAACCACTTAACTGTAACATACACTTCATAATTGGAAATGGATACTACTGGTTTGTCAGAGAGTCCACAAAAAGATGAATCGAAGGAGCATTCGGAGAATTGCAGTTCTGTAAGTTTATCCTTGTTGACTTGTCTGAACTATCTAGAGATTACATTTTCCGCTTTAGATAGAATATGGTCAGAGTATTTTCCAAAGTCTGACCTCTCACTTCGTCATCATGTGAAATTGATCATATGAAATTGACATCATCATCATGAAATTTAACCAATGATAGAGTGTCGCCTTAGACATATTCTTATAAATTACGCAAGCCGAGAGTGCAAGGCTAAATGTAGCTACACGTGCTAACCTCCTGAAGTTGAACAGTTCAACTGGTCAACAAACCTAGGTGGATTTAAAGTGTTGTCTAAGCCCCTTTGGAGAAGTATGTTGTGCAGGTATGTCTGTCGTTCTATCGCGCTACCATCAAGAACGATTTGCGATCTGTATAGTTACCACCCATCGGTAATCATCCATCTCACCATTCTCAGTGTACTTTTTCCAGTTTGTATTGAATAATAGTTTTTCGTGATTTGCGATAGTTCTTTCTTTGCAGGAGGTAGAACCATCAAATGCAGAATGTGAGGAGGCCTTGAAAAAGTTTGTTCAATTCACCAAAACGGATGAAGCTTGTGCGCACTTCTTTTTGCAAGATTTTAATTGGCAGTTGCAGGCAAGTATTTGTCGTCATTTCAGGGACGGGAAAGGATGTATGATATTATGGCCGCCACACGAACCATATTTTCAAATTTCTCTTTCCTGATAGTGTTCATGTGCACTGAATCTTGGGATTTTACCATTAGCTTCATCTTGTTCACCTATTTCTTTTATTGACGAAGCATTCACTTTCTTATTCAGCCTGCACTGGATCGTTTCTTCTCGTATGCGCCGGAAACCAAGGAAAGGACTAATTCAACGAAAGCATCATCTCACCTTGTTGAAAATGAACCAGATAAGGATTTCTCTCTTACTGTTATGTCGTGGAACATCGATGGTCTTGATGAAAGCAATCTTACTATTCGTTTTACTGCAGTTTGCTACATAATTTCGAAGTTTGTGGTATTTGCGTTTTTCTTAGTGATTGTATTCCTATTCTTGATGTGGAGTTTATTCGGACCATCTCATCATAATGTGGGACACGCGGTAATGTTAAACTACATTGGGATGTTTTCTGGGAAGCTTTAGATAAACTGAAGCATATCTGATATGTTTTTGTAGGCTAAAATGGATAAATTAATAATCGATTAAATGGTGAATCATTGTGGATATATTTAGAAGATCTATGCACAATCATGACAAGTTTTTGCTAGTTTTCAATCGTGTCACTACCGAAAAGATACACTATATGAATGATCCTGATGTTTTCATCTCTCTGTACAATCAAGGAACATTATCCTCGTTCATTAAATAAGTTATAAGTATGCATGCATGTTGTAATTCTCGTTGTTCAACGTCCTCGAAATTAAGGATTTCTGCTGATGTAGTTTTCCTACAAGAAATGACCCCCGATTTGGTTCCGCAAATCAGAAAGAATTTGGGTGGGGAGTATAGTATCCTGGTTGCAACTCCAAACTTGCCATATTTTACGGTTGTCCTCCTGAAACCATTCATCGAGTTGATCTCGCATAAAGCCATCCCGTATGGATGTTCAGGAATGGGACGATCAATGCAGCTTGTGGAGGTCGGTAGAGCTTTGAATTTATACTTTCTGTTTGGAAGTAAAGAATGCTTATAAATTTCTTGCTTGACTTAACTGGATCTTTTTTTAGCTCATATTTTCTACTCCCGCTATACCTGATGCTAATAATATAGATGAACCTTTTCTTTTATTCTATGGCATATGGATGTGGTAAAAATGAGTAACAGTGTTTAGTATTCTCGATAGTTCCGTTAATGTTTAATAGCTTGTGTTCTTAAGGTCATAATGTATTGTTTTTCTTCAGACTTCGGCACATGGGCACAAAATGATGCTACTGAATACGCATTTAGAAAGTATGAAGGAGCATTCTGATGTAAGACTCACCCAAATCCAGGAGTGTTTTGAACAACTGACTGAATGGGATGATGGCAAAACTATTATCGTTTTTGGAGGTGATCTCAATGCTCGCGATAGCGAAGTAAGGAATCTCATCTTTGTCCGAATGCACATTGTTTCTGATTTTGAGAGGATCTATACCATATGTTCTGATAGTTGTGGCATACTTCCGGCTTCGCATCATTTTGAGATATCAAATATGAAGAAATGAAAGAATTTCCCTACTTCATGTTTAGTTCTTTTTTATTTTTTAGTGGATCAACTAAATTCTTTAGCATTCTTCTTCATTCATTTCTTCTAAAATATAGATTGGCGAACTTCCTCCTGGATTCAAAGATGCATGGGTTGCTGCGGGGTCGAAACCAAAATTCAAGTTTACTTGGGATACTTTGTTGAATGACAATAAAGCTGCTGGAAAAGCCCGATGCCGTTTTGATCGCATTATCTACAAAAGGTGTGTTGAGATTTTCAGCTATCGTCGAAGATGATTGTTCCATGTTTTTTCGTTAGTGGCATTAAATACCGTTTGACAAATTATACAATAAACCTCATTTTGCATACAGTTAAACTGTGGGATTCTTACTTAGAGCTGAAGTATTTGTCAGTATTGGCTAGCACGCTACCCTGAATTTTTATAAGCAATCATATAAGTAATTGATTTGTACCAGCACATTAAACATTAGGAATTCCTAATATATTATTCCGTAGTTAGGCCTGACAATTCTGAAAAATACGCTTTTTATTCAAAACGATTATGTATTGAATTATACACTCTTTGCTGTTCTAGTGCTGGTGTCTTCTCGGGAGTGGATTTTTCGCTTGAAGGTCAGAACAGAATCCGCACCTCACTTTGCTTTCCAAGTGATCACTGGGCTATTCTTGTTCATTTTCACTGACTTTTATTCTCAAATAATATAATTCAAAAAAAGCTGAACAGTGGATAAAAATGGATACGCAATCAACCTCTAATGGATGGTTGATTGCGTAAAATAAGTTTTTTGTTGAATGCAACGCTTCTGGATTTCCTCCAAAATGTTTGCATTGTTTTCAGTGCAAGTGAGTTGCTTTTTCTAAAAACTGACTTATGCTTATAATCCGACGAATAATGTAAATATGTATTAAACAATGTTTTATCCCCTATAATATATGATATTTTACTGTTGTGCACTCCGCAATTCTGCTCAACTGAGACACTTAAATGCTATTGAAATTTGTCGATCTGGTGATGCAAGTATGAATATATTACGCAAATAGGAATATTACGCTTTTGTTATGCATTAAGTAACGTTCCACCCAAATCCCTTTCTTGTTAAAGAGACCATTGTCATGTATTTTTTGGACATATGCTTTTATAACCAATTTACTATCTTACGTTTTTCAGTTTTTGTTTTCAATCTTAGTTGATTTTCAACGAACAGTGTTTAATTTCTTTTAATTAGTTCAAGAACACTATGTGCTCCACGCTCTACTGAATTTTGAGTTTTGCAATTTGTATTAGTCAACATTAGAAGTATTTCGTGAGCAACTCTGAAAGAATTTGGACAAGGAAACGGAGTAATCGAGACATTTCGAGCCATGATTAGCCTCTCTGTTGTTTATATGCAGAATATACTATTCTGGTTTGCAACAAGACTTCCTTTATTCTGCAGCTAATTTCCTATACTCTTTAAGGTTCTTCTTCCATGTTAGGGTTGGAGTGATTTTTAACCATCTTTATGTTTTTGAACTGCTATTAGTTTTTGCATTGTTTCTTTCAATTTTTTAGAAATCGCGAAACTCTGGTACTTTTTTCCATTCGATTGTTCCCGACTGTTTGATGATCACCTCGCTCCTTTCCAATTTCGTTTTTTGGAAGTGATGTAAAGATAAGACATCGTTGAACTTCTGTCGATTATTAATATTAATTTCAAATTTCATCGCATATTTCTTCAGATGTTATTCTGCCCCAAGTAAAATCGCTATTTTGCGCCCTATGCAGTAATGATTTTACTGGGCGTAGTTCATTCATCACACTGATTGCATGTAAATTTGTTATCATCTCAACTGGTATTGCTTTAAAACGGTGTTAGTTCTGTTGCTTTTCAGTTTTCTTTCATGGTTTTCTTTAAAAAGAAAAAAACTTTTTTCCAAATATTATTGGTAAACATCCGAAAGATAATTCATTGGATCCATCAGGAAGGATGCTAAAAATTGCGATTTAGTTATGTTGAGTCTTCACTTTTATTTTAAATTAAGAGTTCACAAATATTTGACTGGACAAATATGAGGTATCCACGTGGGATTTCTTTGGCTACCTGATAAAGATTTATATGCACAAAGTTCCTTCATCCGATAAAGCATCGCAGTCTCATCCTGAACAAACCCAACCTACCGATAAATTCAGAAATAGAGCGAATATTCACCTTGTACTTGGCGATCCAATTTTAAACATCCAAAACTCCCTATGCTGAAAGTCCGGGAAGGTATTGCACCAGTGTTCGTTCCGATTACAGAAGTGGGTGCTTATGAATTTGTCAGCTGTGCAATTTGCAACTGATATTCTTGATTAGCTTTCAGCGAGTCAGTGTGGTCAGTATGGTCATTTCATCTATAATGCGAATTGGTAGTATATTGGATTAAGAACAGTGTTGATCATATTGGTTGCTAAAAGTTTATGAAAAGAACTATTCTGTTTCAAGAAGAAGTCTGGAAGATGAACTATCTGGATGAGATATGGTAGGGAATCGAAAGTTCTTATGGAAATGTTTTTATTGCAATTTTCTTTTACCGTAACAGCGTTAATGTTCTGATTCATTTCCTATTTTCGTTCATTCATACTATTCGAAAACATAGAAACACAGGCATTGTGGGAGTTCAGTTGCTGATTTGACAGAAAACAAACAAAAAGACCAAGATGAAATAGCTGTAAAAAAAAAAAATTTACATGAAAATGAGGTTTTGGTAAATAAGCCTGAAACTTTTGACCAAAATATCATCATGTTATTCTCTTCTACTGAGAAAAACAATCGGGAACCTTAAAGGAACAATAACTTCGAGAATTGTGGATAGATTCATTGCAAAGTTTTTAACTTCATAATGAATGACAACGTAGTTGTCACTTCTCCATGATATTATAAACAAGTAACCAATTTCCGGATCTTATAATTATCGTAAATTAATTTCCATGAAATTATTCGCATTGTAATGCAAATGAATAACAAAGAAAGCAGCTAAGAGGCGGTATTGTTGATTCTTTCATCAAAATTGGTGCAGGTGATATAAGTAAGATAAGCATTGGATGCATGGCTATGCGTGTTCAGTTAAATTACTTGCTTACTTTTTAGCTGTTCTAAGTATATATATATATGCTACATCTTGAAGGTTTTTCAGGTGGAGTAAGGAAAAGAGCTGGGAAGTAAAGTGGAGTAGAGTGTTTGGAGGAGGTAGTTGAAATTGTACTACTGGCAAGTTCTATCTCCCTATCGTTCGTGTTTGTCCACATTGTCAACGTTACAACGATATTATACATCGCATCCAGGGTGAGTGGAGAGGAGTGTTAGGGACAGCTTTGCTTACCATTCATTTTGCTTGCTTTTTACATTTAGGTGGATTCGATTGATAGATAAATTGTACGGACCATTATTTATTTATCATCAGATTGCTGATTTCCTTTTCCTGAAGATCGATTCGTCACCTATTATTGTTTCTGCATATAATTAAAGTTCATTCTCACTTTGCTATTACTATTATTAATATTACAATAGCTATAACGACATGTATGCCTCCTATCTTCATTACTATTCCTATCGACTACCACTCCTTATGATTTTTTACTTTTTAAATATTTTTCCAACATTTTCGCTAACTCAATGTCCACCAGTGCAATCACCTTGCCGTTGTGCACCATCTTTTCACGAACCAGTTGCCATTATTTGTGAAAATGCATCCACTTTATCCGATATATTGACTGCCATATCGGAAGCACGGAGTGTTACAGTATGTTATTGTTTGTTCACACTATTTAAATCATGTATTTACAGTTTTGTGATGACAAAACTCTCCAGTTCATTTCTTGAATGAGATTGAAAATAGCTAACCGTTACTTAGTTATCTATTTTGATCAACCGTGTACATTCCCGAAAATTATTTTGAAATCCTGAAATCCTGAGAAAACTTATTAGTCTCATCAGAAATTTGAACCCCAACATTTCGTTCTATCAATCAAAAAAGATTGCTTTCTTTTAGGAGAAAAAATTGATATTTCTTTGACTTCAATATTTTGGTCAAGTTGAAATAATTCAATCGATAATTTCAGATAGCTGTTCTTCATATAACGAACACCGTCATTCCAAGTCTTCCGGCCTATATATTTCAAGATTTTGCTATTTCACGATTGGTGCTAAACCGGTGTAATCTGAATCAAATAGATGATAATGCATTTGTTGGAGCAAGTCTTGATAAATTAGTTGACTTAGACCTTTCTGATAATCAGCTAGGTGCAATACCCATAGCTGGTGTCCCACGCTTGACTAATCTCAAGAAATTGTCCCTGAATCGAAATCGCATTAGTCATCTGCAGTCCAATTCATTCATAAACTATGAATCACGAGATATACTGCAAAAATTGGAACTAGCTGGAAATCGACTTACGGATCAAACCTTTGATGATTCACTTATCTTTAAACCATTACGTTCTTTACAACAGCTAAGCCTGGAAACAAACGCATTAAATGTTATCCCATCTGCTTCATTAATCAATCAACGACATACACTAATTAATCTGAATTTGGGATTGAACCAAATCAGTGAAGTCCCTGTTGGTGCTTTAGATTTTCCAAATCTCAATTCACTTTCACTTGAATTCAACGGCATTTCGCAAATCATTCCTCAAGCATTTCAAGGAATTCCTAATCTGCAGCATTTATATCTTACGGGTAACAAATTCCCTTCCTGGCAACCTGAAATGTTCACATTCGTCCCGCATCTGTTGACCTTAGGTATTGGTGAAACCCCAATTGCCGTGATACCATCAAACGCTTTTCAGGTAATTACAACTGATTTCAAAACTAAAGTCGACAGTTAATTATTTTGTCATTTATGACTTAGAGTGTTAATTACACCCAGTTTACTTTACTTTAACTTTCCGTTCCGATTATATTCCGTCAGTTATTGTTTTTATATATTATTTATATCTTTATTCCCTCCCTTCTTTCAAATTATACTTGTGCCTTTCCCTGTTTCACCTGGTTCATTACTTTCATAATTATCCGGTCGTGACATTTAATGAACAACTATCATTTAATGAGATTAAAATAATATCTGTATTTGTTTCATTCATTTTGCATTCAGTTTGCATTTTCTCGTAATTTAAATTCTTTTCTACTGACCTTTGTCATCCCACTTTTTGCGTGATTATTTTTATGTCTAGCGTTATATCTTTTGCTGTAACTAAAAATAATTTTTCCAGACTTGGAAACATAAACCATATATCATAATGAAATTCGAAATGAGCTATGGTTACTCAGAGTACATCATTCTTCATTAAATTAAATTATTTGGTGACTTAAAAATTATTCATTACCAGATTTTATATTCATAACATAAAACTTACGCAAGTTTATTGCAAGTATATACCCAAGTTGATACGTTTGGAAATGTCCGATGCAGCTGTTGATACAATTGAACGTGGTGTTTTCCAGAGAACGCCAAATATTCAAGCAATTATTTTGAATAAAAATCGCCTTTCTGTGTGAGTTAGAACTTTCTAGTTTTTGCATAAATTGATAAAAGTGAAGTATCAAATCCTTTGAAAGATGGGATAAAAAGAAATAAATGTTTACATATTCATCCTTAAACTAATCTTTCCTCAGCAACAATAATATTGATAAGATGTTGCATGCATTATATCACTCACATGTGGCTGAAATATTCATTTTCTATTTCACTCTATTTTAGCTTCTAGGTGAATTTCCAACATTCAATTCAGTGTTGTATAATGTTGCTAAAAAATTCCAATCTCAGGTTTGCTTCCTTTTTCAGGATACGTTCCGATTACTTTGAAGGTTTGCATCAACTGTATTCAGTGAATCTAGGTGGCAATCGCATTGATACTTGTGAACCATTGGCTTTTGCAAATCTTCCACAAATGAATCATCTTGACATCAGGTTTTTGTTTTCTATATCTTCCGAATTTTTCATTTACGACCGTATAGACATTCTGAAATTTTAAAAACTATCCAATTCAAAAAATTGCTTGGAATTCCACATCTGGATCAGGTACTATTTAAAGTTCGAATGGTGTACGATCTTTCTGAAATATTTAATTTAACTTGTGAGGATAATAACCAAGACGCTTTTTCATCCATCAGAGTAATTAATTTTAGTTCCAATCAGCTTCAAACGTTACCGGATAATACATTTACAAATTCATTTTTACCGGATCCGAATGAAAGACGTATCATGTACGTGTGTGGCAATCCATGGTTGTGTAATTCAGCTCTGGAGTGGTTTCGGACTTATCTCCAGGAAAACGTTGACATTGACATCGATAAGCCAGGATGCGTTGCTGCTTGTATTGACAATGTCAACAGTTGTCCTCCAGTTGGTACCCCGTTACGAGCTGTGGATTATTGCCCCGCCAACGACACACCTCTCCCACTAACTGGCAATGCGCTGTCACTCGTTGGTTGGATTATTTTAGGTTTGTATTTTCGAAGCTTATTTAGGAATCTGTTATAGGAAATACGACTAAATCAATCTATTTCTTTAGTTCTAGACCCCTATTTCGAATTAAGACTTCCTTACTTAGATCACATAGGTTCGAGAAGGAATGTAAAATCTAATTCTCAAGTTCTTACATTTTGCAGCTATCATAATGACAATTTTATTGATCAGTATATGTTTGATGGCACTAGTCCGTTATGGAATATCGCATCGAAGAAAAAAAATGAAGGATCAGGAAGCATTGGAAAACGAACAGAGGATTATGTCAATAACAGGTTTATCAATATATGAAATATTCAAAACCTCTCTGCATTCAAAAAGGGTAATGTACGATACAAAGTTTCTTATGTCTGAAAGTAGCTAATTAAATATTAAATTTGAAACGCAGTAAAACACTATTGCATTTTCCAGGAAGTGGAATGCCGTCAGTAATACCTCGATCTTATTTGCCGCCACCAACAGTAGATCTCGACTTACCTCCAGCTCACAGTTTAGATGAAACACCAGCCAGCTACTTATATTGATTTCCTATCATAAATAAAATTTCAAACTGAGAATAGAAGATCTAATACAATCGTTTTATTTGAGAAATTCATGGTCAATAGCTCGAAAGCGATGTCTAAGCGGTAATTACAATTATATATACATATCAAAAAAAAATCCATGTTTATATATATATATGCAGCTATGCGTATATATATATATATATATATATATATATATATATATATAT